GGGTAAGGTGGTGCCATGGGCCAAAATGACAGTGATAAAGCGGGCTGATGGGCAGGGGAGCCCACTATGCGCTCCCCTCCTGGTTACAGAAATCAGCGGTGCAGCATAGAGACCTCGGGTGCACGCAGGCGACAGTAAAAGTAGCAGCCTTGCCAAGGCCGGGCGCAGGGGCGCAGGCCCTGTCCCCCCAGTGGCGCCACGTGGCGCGCTGCTTGCCCCGGACCCCTTCCCAGAGCTGACCCTGTAGCCCTGTGAATCCTGTGAATCCATTGCCTGCCCTGGATTAGAAACGATGCGGTTTTCTCTGGTGCACGGCCACCCTCTTCACCCCTCCGTGAACTCACGGAGGTTATTGGAGCCAAAATACAAGGCTTTCCAGACGCGGCCCCAAACCGTAAAAACAGCAGGGCCAGGAATGGCGGGGGAGGGGGGCGACTGAGCCAGTGACGCAGTTTGAGATGGGCGAGCGGGATCGGGGGAAGGCTGTGCGCGCCTGGTTCAGCGGAGGTGAGAGGCGCACGTGCGCGGGTGAGAATGGGCTCTAACCCCGGCTCCCGGGACGCTTTGTTTCCCACAGTTCTTTGCCTTCCTGGTGACCATCTGCTACGCTGGGAACACATACTTCAGTTTTATAGCGTGGAGATCCAGGACTGTGCAGTGATGGGGCGTTTTCATAACAAAAAGGAAAAGAAAGAATCGAACTGTAAAAGCAGCTGTAGGTGTGATGTACTGTATTCCTGGAGAGTTGTATTTAACTAATGTTTTATATACTTCGCCCGCAGCCGTTTGTACAGTGACACTGGATCCTTATTTGCAAAACGCCGGAGCCCCTGATGAACTCCTTAAGTGTCTTTTCTAAAGTCACAAAACAGTATTTTCTTAGGCAATGTACAAATAGAGAAATTGCTAATATTAAGAATGTGACAAGTTTGTAAACCTAACTCTTAATATGCCAGATTCTTTTGTGATTAAATGTTGCAAAATCCCAGCCACTTGTTGTGTCTGATTCGGGAAAGGAGACCCACTTGGGAAGCCGGAGGCGGGGCACTGTGGGCGTCTCCATCTTCCCACAGCTGTGCAGGTGCCGTGCTGTCTGGAGGCGGGTGGGTGTGCACAGCCCCAGTGCAGGGGGCGGGAGCCCCTCAGCTCTCCAAGGCGGGGGTCCTCAGCGTCCATGCTTCTCTCGGGCCAGCAGCTGGGCCCAGGAAGCCTCTGTTGAGACCCACCCATGGAAATCACTGGTGGTCCTGGGTGCAGAGACAGATGCGGTCGTGGGTTTTCTAATCCACATTAGAATAGGGGTGGGTGTTAGGTGTGTGGTTATGATGCCCTCAGAATGCTCATATCCCAGATCAGTGCGCCTGGGTTTGACTTCCGGCTCTGCTCTCAGTTCCAGTTTCCTGTCACTGCATCTCCCGGGAGGCAGCAGGTGTCCCTGTGACTCCCATAGGAGAACCAGATGACTCCTGAGTTTGGCCTGGCCCAATTCTGGCTGTTACATGCATTTGGAGGGTGAACTAGTAGATGGAAGATCTTTCTCTGTCTCTCCCTCTTTGTCACTCTGTCTCGCAAATAAATCAGTGTGCCAGCACTATGGTGTAGTGGGTAAAGCCACCACCTGCAGTGCCAGCATCCCCTATGAGCACTGGTTCAAGTCCTAGCTGCTCCACTTCCAATCCAGCTCTCTGCTATGGCCTGGGAAAGCAGTGGAAGATGGCCCAAGTGCTTGGGCCCCTGCACCCGCGTGGGAAACCTGGAAGAAGCTCCTGGCTCCTGGCTTTGGATCGGCACAGCTCTGGCCATTGTGGCCATCTGGGGAGAGAACCAGTGGATGGAAGACCAACCTCTCTATCTGCCTTTCCTTCTCTCTGTGTGTAACTCTGACTTTCAAATAAATAAATAAATCTTAAAAAAAAAAAAAAAAAAAACCCTGCCAGCTGTGCCCACATCTGCCTGCACCCGCAGCCCTGAGCATCCTCTCCGGTGGCTGCACGGGTTTTAGTTTGATGTATTTGCCTACTCATGGCACATCAGTGCAACGCTTTAGGTGACTGATCTCTCCCCACTGCAATTCCCACTTCTGCCCCCCCCCCCAAATAAATATTTAGCCAACATCTGAAAAATACAAGAAATCCAGAGATGAGAATGTTCAGTATCAGTGATTTCTTTTTATGTTTTTAAATTGCTCCCTTCACAGGAGAATCCCTTTAGGGTATCAGCACACAGAAGATTTTAAATACATAAAGGATCTTTATGAAGACATTTAGAATTGCTTACTGCAGATGCAGCCCTGGGTGGAAAATAGTTAGGCCCAGGTTTCTGTCCCATGGACAATTCCCATTTTCATTGAAAATATGCATTGTCATAGAAGTGGGTTCTATTGACTTTTTAAAAAAGATTTTATTTATTGTTTGAGAGGCAGAGTTACAGAAAGAAGGAGAAATGGAGAAAGTTTTTTTTGTTAAGTTTTTTTATTTATTTGAGAGGTAGAGTTACGGGGGGGGGGGGGCGGTCTTCCATCTGTTGGTTCAATCCCCAAAGGGCCACAACAGCAGCAGTTGAGCCAATCCGAAGCCAGAAGCTTCTTCCAGGTCTCCCATGTGGGTGCAGGGGCCCAAGCACTTGGGCCATCTTCCACTGCTTTCCCAGGCCACAGCAGAGAGCTGGATCGGAAGAGGAGCCACCAGGACTTGAACTAGTGCCCATGTGGGATGCTGGTGCTACAGGTGGAGGCTTAGCCTACTACGCCACAGCGGCAGCCCCAGTTCTGCCTTTTGAAATACTCACATACTAACACTGCAGGCTGAATCCTCTCTCATTGTCTAATGATAACATCGGTGCTTACTTTTTAAATAAAAGTATGAGAGAGGCAGAGAGATAAAGGAGCAGGGAGATACACAGACATACAGACAGGTTTCCCATACACTGCTTCACTCCCCCAGATGCCCGCAATGGCCAGGACGGAGCAGAGCTGACACCAGGAGCAGGAGCAGGAACCCAATCCAGGTCTCCCATGTGGGTACCAGGGACCCACCTACCTCAGTATCACCACACCTCCTAGGGGATGCATTCACAGGCACATGGAACGGGGAGCAGAGCCAGGACCTGAACCCAGGCATTCGGAACCTGGGAGCCGGGGTCATGACCCCCGAGCTAAACGGCCGCCCCTCCTCTTTAAATAGAACTCCCAGGAACAAAGCTCCTCTCCTTGGGTGGGGACAGAGGGAAGCAGCAGCCAGAGGTCGATGGCAAATATTTTTGTGACCACCAGGGGGAGCCTGGCGTGGGCTAATGATAACCAGCAGGAAGAGCCAGGTGGAGGAATCCTCATAGAGCCGGGTACCAGTTCAGCCCAGTTTGCTGCCAGTGGCTCGCAGAATCCTGCCCACTTCGCTTCGGCTGATTTCTGCTTCTTAGGGCGGTGTGCGTCCTGGCCAGCACACGGGACGTCCCAGCAGGTGGCATTCGACACAGACAGGCATCAAGTCCCGGCTCTGCCTGCCTGTGACAGTGGAGTCACATGGGGCCCTAGTTGACTGGCAGTGATGACGGGATAAGTCGGCACCGACACCAGAGGGCAGAAAAAGGAGAGCTGACTTTGCTGCTGTGAATAAGATGGCCTGTAAGTGCCAAAGAGCAGACAGTGCAACGGTGAGGCCCGGGACAGGATCCCACGTCCCACACCAGCGTGCCTGCCTTCAATACCGTCTCTGGCCCCAGATTCCACGGTCCTGCTCATGCAGACCCTGGGAGGCAGTGTTGATGCTCAGGTGGCCGCGTCCCTGCCGCCCCCGTGGGAGACCTGGATCCCATCCCTGGTCCCCAGCTCTGGCCCCTGACCCAGCTCTGGCTGTCGTGGGCATCTGGGGAGTGAACTGGCATACAGGAGCTCCCTTCCTCTGTATGTCTGTGTTCATATCCCGGCTGCTGTACTTCTGATCCGGCTCCCTGCTAACGCGGCTGGGAAAGCAGTGCAGACTTGGGCCCCTGCACCCACATGGAAGACCCGGATGGAGCTCCCAGTTCCTGGTGTCAGCCTGGCACAGCCCCGGACGTTATGGCCATTTGGGGAGAGAACCAGTGGATGGTTCTCTCTCCCTCCCTCCCTTCCTCCCTCACTCTCCATCTATCACTCTGCCTTTCAAATAAGTCTTTTCAAAAATTAATTAAATATTAAGAAAAAGAATGAAGACTAAGCCTAATCTGGTATTTAAGACAAACAACTTAGAGATCAAAGGTGGTGCAATTTTTTTTTTCAAAGTAAAACCACAAAAAGCTGTTATTTCACATCCTCTAGAATGACTATGTTTTTTTTTTTTTTAAAAAAAACCTGACACTAGCAAATGTTGGAGCGCATCCGGAATTCTCACACACTGCTGGGAGGGGTACAACTATATCTAAAGCTAAATATGTACCTCAAGTGGGATCCGGCTCCATTCCTGGATATTTACCTGTGAGAAATATGCCGGTGTAGAGACTTGTGCAAGAACACGCAGAATAGCTGTATGCATAACTACCCCAAATGGAAGCACCCAGTGTCTGTCGAGTGAGGAACACATAGCGAACTGTGCTGTCTCCTTGCAACGGAATACTCCTGAGACATGAAGAGGAACCCGCTACTGACAGACTGGACGAGTGCGTGAATCACCAACAGTCTCACCGAACCGAAGACGCCAGGCAAACCCCAGTGTTGCTTCCGTGCGTAAGGGATTCTGCCGAGGGCTCAACAGACCTGCAGTGCAGGAGGACCAGCGGCTGCTGAAGGGCCCAGGGAGAGGCTCCGAGGCGCCAGGTGCTCTCCGTCTTGTCTGCGGTGGGCAGTGCAGCGGTGTAGACCCCGGGAGGTAAGCAGACAATGGCTTGTGGGGGAGACCTGGCTCCAGTCCCAGCCCTTGTACTTGGGACACTTGGGGAGTGAAGCAGTAGATGGGAGTTCTGGTTTCTCTCTCTCTCTCTCTCTCTCTGCTCCCCTACCCTGCATTAAACATAGAGGCGGGAGATCTAACGTGGTCTGACACACGAAGGCCCTGTCCCATCCGCTGTGCTGCTGGATCGTCCACACTGCGGATTTCCCTGCGCCTCCGTGGTCTCGGGCAGAGTCAGAGATGGGTTCATCTCCATGTTGTCCGGAGCGCAGCTCGGGGCCAGGAAAGCGCTCTGTGTTCTGTCGCCGGGCAGCTGCTGGAACCCCTTGCGGGGTTAGCAAAGGTGAGGAACACGAGGTGACCTGAGGCACGGCAAGCCTGGAGTGGCCTGTAATGGGGGGAGCCTGCCGGGGCCACGTGGAAGGTTCTCGTGTGGCGTCGGTGTGTTCCAGGGAGCCGGCCGGGCTGGCAGGGACATGAAGACCCGCACCTGGGGCTGTGTTTATGGTCTCAGAAAGAGAGAAGCGCTTCGGTGACAGCTACCGGGCAGGGAGCAAGAGCAAGCAAGGCTAACTGATGGTTTTCCAGAACCTGTCAATGGCCATAGGGCCTGGGAGCTTGCACCCACTTACTCTGCAGTCCCAGGTGGTTGCCGGGTGAAACCGCCAGGATCAGACCCTGGCCTCCAGCTCACAGCCCTGCACCTGGAGCACCGGGAGCGCCTGGGGCACCTGCACACCTGCCGGCAGCGCCCTGAGTCACACAGGTGGGTGTCCACAGCTCCGTGGATGTGGCAAGGACGCTTGAGGTTGTAGGGAGTGGTCAGTGAGCTGCCTGAGGCTACAGCAGGTAGCCGAGCGCCTGGAGTGGCTTGGGCCACACTGAGATAGTCTCACTGCCTTTCCTCCAGCCTCGTGTGCTGGGGACATCTGGACGGCGAGAAACGGTCCAGGGCATGGGGCCAGGAAGTTCAATGGTTCCAGAAATCTCTCTGTCAGTATAAACGTGAAGACCCCTAGACACGGGTGTCCCCTCGGGCAGGCATGTCACACAACAGTGAGGACGCCACTTGGGGTGCCCACGCCCCACATCAGGGTACCCGGCTGGGGCTGATGCGTATCGT